TTTGAACCCGGCCCCCCCCCCCCCCCCCCCCCCAAAAAAAGTTAAAGATCTAGATGCATTGCATATTAATGAGGGGGAGCTCAGTCTGTCCTCAAGTCTTTCTATAGAGGCAGATTGATAAATACATACAGTAAACTCAGTTATCCGGCATGACGGGGATTGGTAGATTCTGGATAACTGTAATTTCTGGTTGCTTGAGAATTACTATTACCATACCAAACTCTCTGACTTCATATTAAAAGGAGAACTATGGGGTTAAGGCTTTTCCCCATAGTTCTCCTTAGTGTAACGGGAGGACACAAACTAGGGCCCTCCCGTCACCATAGGCTCAGCTGCTGCTCGCGGTATACTGAGACGCCGCAGCTGAAGCTGATCCCGACAATTGTGCCGGGATCTGCCCAGCTGCGTGACTGACAGCTGGCTCTGCCTATCTAGAGGCAGAGCCAGCTGTACCCGCCCCCTCCCAGCCCTGACTGGCGGATCAGAGCGGGGAGGGAGGAATCCAGCCCCTCCACTGTCACGGCAGAGAGCCGTGACAGGATCGAGAGGTGAGCGAACGCCGGTATGTGTTCGCTCACCTCCCGATCTACTGAGCCGACCTGTGACAGTCTCATTGTCACAGGTCGGCTAGAACTATGAGGTGAGTGGAAAGCACTCACCTCATAGTTCTCCTTTAATATTGAAATGCAGTAATCAAAAGCAAAGACAAAATAGGACACGATCATTTCCAGGATAATACATGCCGCAGATCAGCAGAACAATGAGTACAGAGGGGATATTTTTTTCTGGTTAGATGAGTTCTGGTTAGTTGAATACCGGATAACTGAAAGTTTACTGTATATGTATATATATGAAAATACACTTTAAAACTCAGACATCAACCTCCCAGCATGACCAACGTCAAATTACACACAGCACAATGTGTCATGAGAGGTGTTAAATAACATTTCTGCTGCACAGGTGGCTTGGTGTAGTAGTTTAGTATTACATGCAACTCTACCCAAATTCTCACAGATGCATGTCAGTCTGGCGTTCGGTTTCATGGTGCAGAGCAACTCAATTCCTCAAAGTAACCAAGTTACAGAATGAGGTTTATGCGTGGGCGATTATTCATAGAGGTGCAGCTTAACACGCTGCAATTATCAGCCAGATTACCTTTTTTTAAACAAATACCTGAAGTACATATGAAAAAAAGTGACAGGCTCAGTATAGAAAGTGTGTGGAAGATGAAAAAGTTAATGAAAACATTTGAGTATATGCATTACACTCACCCATCTATTATTAAATGCTCATACGGTGCTTTCTTATCACACACAGGACACACCCAGGTTGGCTTCTTTTCATTCATCTGGATATACAGGGTAGCGTCAAAGCATTGCAGATGAGAGCAGGTAAGTGACCGGCAAGGGATGGTCAGACGCATCTTTCCCAGCTACAAGAGAAAAATCAGAAGCCTCAATAAAAAAAAAAATATTGTGTTTTCTGATTTTAGTATAAAACAGAAAACGTTTGAGATTTACTATAACAAAAAAAAAAGCCCAGTCAATATAGACAGAAAGAGCTTTAGGAGAAACATAATCCATTTTAAACAGTCACATAAAACGTATACGATATTTACCGGACACAGGAGCGACACCCGTAAACTGGTCGTTGCAATTTCACTGTCTGGATCAGCTGTGAGCTTCTCTTTAACTAGAAGTAAAGTAAAAGACGTTTATGGATCACAACTCCAGCTTTTAGTGGTCAAGTCCATACACACATTTTTCACATGCTAAAGCTGCATACGTTTATGGTTTAGAAATGCATATGTTGTATTCCGGATTTAAGAGAAAACAAGCCAACATATGATTTGTGTTTCTTTATATATTAGAAGGAGGCATATCCGTTTACAAAGTAAATGAGCGGAGATTCCAGCGGCTGAGTACCAACAGATGGGATCTCCTGATAGTGAGGAGGAAGAGATCTTACTGAGAGCTCTGGAATGGTCTGGGTTGCGGATCCCTTTCGCCCGTAGCCTCTGCAATAAGATGGCCGACGACAACTGCTTGACAAGGTAAACAGCCAGTGAAAAATTCTGTAGAGAGAGGATCAGAAATAGGACAGTGAGTATTAAAGAGAAGTACCATTTTCCTTTATCTTCTTTAAAGCTGTCAGGTAATGCAGCCTTTCTCAACCATTGTTCAGTCATGGCACACTTTAAAATGCAAAATCTCAAGGCACTCCAGTCTAAAAATTGTAATGGATTTTAGGAGGGACCCCATACAAAAAAAAAAAGAAGAAGTAGGATTCTCCTTCACATCAGCACCCCCCAAACTCCCTTTCACATTAGAGTTCTGCCACATCTGGAGCTACAGCTGTGGCAGCATGGCAAAGATTGGGAGGCAGAGAACACAAGGCCAGAGGTGAACATCCATCTTTGGATTAAAGAAACCCACCCTCCCTGAATTAGCGTCATTTGTTTCCATGGTGATGGCACCAGCCCTGTCTCCACCATGTAAAGGCATGACACTATGAAGATTTTGAGGCATTCCTAAAGAAGCCAGTAGGCATCCTGGTTGAGAAAGGCTACTGTACTGTACACCTACACATCTCTGGAAGTTACTCATAATAAAAATTTAAAAAAAAAAACCCACAAAAGTTCCTGCTTGGTGTACAGACTCAAAAATCTAAGCATTAAGAATGGGTAGCATTAGGGGAAAAAAAAAAAAAAAAGTGCCATCAGGGGTCATTAATTCATTAAACAAGTGCATGCAACGGCAAAATAAAACATTTACAAACAAAACAAGGTACAAATGAGGGAACTGACTAGGGCTGCAACAACTAATCGACATAATCGATTATAGTCGATTGAAAAAGTTGTCAACTTTTTCAATAATCGATTAATCGGCTTCCGATCAGTTGGCCCTGTTCACGGCTCCACACACGCTGCGCGCCGCACCTCCTCCCCAACTCACGCTCACCGCTGCCAGACCCGCC